AGAGAGAGAGAGAGAGCCTTTTCCTAAAGCCAGAGCCCTGAATTCAGGCTTCTTGCCGCCTTCCTGAATTTTCTGTTCTTTAAAGCCACCCACTAGTGGTATTCTGCACTTGTGTCATAGTAACCCTAGAAAGCATGCAGCAGGTACCTAGCCCCTACCCTGGGGATAAGCTCAAGGCCCTGGCTCTTACCTCGGAAGGATGATACCAGTGGTTTGGCAAAGGTGGGAGATGTCCCAGGCTCCTCTGTGGGCAGACATTTTCCGCAGTAGGGGCAGAACTTGAATGTTGATTTGATACTTTTACCACACTCTGGACAGAAGGTGATCATGCTACAAGAAAGAAGGAAGTGGAGAGGGTACAGGAAGCGGAAAGAAAAACCAGTCCACTACTGATGAGCAGAGGAGGCCCTTACATCATCCAAGTTCTCTATAGTTATGAGACTGGTACAAAGTTGCTGTGGTGAAGGGCCATCGAGTCAGCTCTGACTCACAGTGACCCTACCCCATAGAGTGTTTCCAAGGAGCAGCTGGTGGGGTTGACTCGCCAACCTTGTGGTTTACAGTCCAGTGCAGATCCTACAGTGTCACACCAGGTCTTCCACATCTGGAATATGTTCCTCAAAAGGAGACTTTGGGTAGTATAAATGCACTTAATATGCTTAACTACTCACCAAGACACTGGTGATTCAAGCTCATCACAAGAAAAGCTCGGCAGTGGCTTCAGTACAGATGTAGACAAGAAACTCCTATGGAGTTCAGCTTTTCTCTAGCACACAGAGCCACGAGTAAGAATTGACTCGAAGGCTAACGGTTTGGTCTGGTTTTTTTGGCTCAACTTATCTAAAGCAAAAGACCCCTGGTAATGGTTATGCACTGGGCGGCTAGCTGCAAGGTCAGCAGTTTGAATCTATCAGCCGCTCTGAGGGAGAAAGATGAGGCTAGATTCTGCTCCCTTAAACATTAACAGCCTTGGAAACACTATACAGGGTCATTGTGAGTTGGAATTGACTCAATGGCACTTCATAACAACTAAAGCAGCTTTCCCTCCAAAAATTAAGTGCTTGATTACCAGCCAGAGAGATGGCGGTTCAAACATATCCAGAGGCACCTTGGAAGTCAGGCCTGGCGACTGCTTCTGAAAGCTTTGAAAATGCTGTCGAGCAGTCTTACTCTGCCCACGTGGGGTCACCATGAGTTAGAATCGACTCGATGGCAGTGGGTTTTGGTTTGGGCCTTGATCCTGTAAGGAGTCCTGATGGTGCTGTGGCTAAAACACTCAGCTGTTAACAGAAATGTTGGCAGTTCAAACCCAGCAGCCTGCTCTGCAGGAGAAGGGATGTGGCAGTCTTCTGAGGTAGCTCTACTCTGTCACGTGGGGCCAGTGACTTGGAATCTATTCAAAGACACCCAGTGACAGCAGGAGTTGATGCGGAAGGCCCTTTCTCTGGAGCGTCAGTGACCTCGGACTTCTAGTCTCCAGAACTGTGAGAAAACCACTGTGATGCTCGGTTACAGCAGCACTTGAGCAACGAATCCATCACACGATGGGCTCTGGCCGACACACTGTGGGTGGAGGTCATTCCCGCAGAAGCAGTTCAAGGCTGGAGCACCTCCTCCACCCACCCTTTTTCGGCAGGCAGTATTAGATTTCTCAGTAAGGAAAGCATGGGCTTTCTTGTGCTTCCTTACTCATCTGTAGTGAAGTTTCAGTTTTTCACCAGGCCAAGATTCTGCTTCTAGGTCTGGCTGGCAACTGTCTTGCTCCTAATCCCACAGTACCTTCCTACAGAACCAAAGTTGCTTTCATATTTATAATTCCTGACAGGATTTGTAAGGAGCTCTGGGGACACAGTGGGGTAAGTATCAGGCTGCTAACTACAAAGCTGTCAGTTCAAACCCACCAGTTACCCGCAGGAGAAGACGATGTCTACTCTCGTAAAGAGTTTAATTTGGGGACCCTATGGAGCAGATCTGCTCTGTCCTGTATTTTGTCACTATGAGTTTCTACTCTGTTGCTATGAGTCGGAATCAACTTTACAGCAGTGGATTTGGTTTGTTTTTAGATAGGGACAGAGTACCAAGTAAGCAAGGTAAGCACAGGTTTACTTGTGCTTATTAATCTACAATGAATTACTTGGCATCTCTCACAATCCCACAGCGCCTTCCTGCAGAATCAAAGGCTATTTTCACATTTAAATCCCTGACAGGGACGGAGTACCCAATAAGCAAGGTAACCATGGGCTTACTTGTGCTTACTTATGGATCTGTACAGAACAGTTCCATGTTTTTATCACAAGTTGTGAACATGTAAGTCTGTTTTACTAAGTAAGCACAAATGTGATCGCTAAGGTTTTGTGTCAACTTGACTGGGCCAGGATTCCCAGTCCTTTGCCAGTTGAGATGCGGTTATTCCCATGGTGAGATCTAATATAGTGTTGTTAACTCTATGATGATTGGTTATGAGCAGGCATAGTTAACTCTATGATGATTGGCGATGAGCAGCCAATCAATTGAAAGGATGTTTCCTCAGGGGTGTAGCCTGCTTCCAATATAATGGACACTCAGGAAAAGCTTGCTTGCTTTCTGCTGGGTCTGAATCTTGCATCCGGCTTGTCCTCCAACCTGTTTCTTTGGAATTCAGTCAGTGGCCTGCTCTATTATCTGCCTGCCTGTCTATCTGCTAGATCTGCCTGACGATCTTGGTTCATCTGACTCAGACTTGGGTTGGGACTCTTCCACCTCTATAACTGTGAGCCATTTCCTTGATATAAACTTTTCTTTATATATACACATATAGAAGGAGCTCTGGTAGCGTAGTGGTTACGAATCAGACTGTGAACCGCAAGGTCAGCAGTTCGAAACTACCAGCTGTTCTGCGGGAGAAAGATGAGGCTTTCTGCTCCAGTAAAGATTTACAGCCTCAGAAACCCCGTACAGGGTCACTACGAGTCAGAACTGACTCCACGGCACATAACAACAACAACAACATAGGTTTCAATGGTTTTGCTTCTCTAGAGAACCCAGCCTAAGATAATAAGTAAGTTCGTGCTTACTTTGCTTACCGGCTAACCACCTGTCTGGAGGCCGTGCTAATGGTATATCGACAAGGTAGAGGAAGGGCTACCTGGTCCAACTGGAATCTCATGATCGACAAACCACCTTCTACTGCATTAAACCTCTGAGATTACAGGGTTGGCTTGACCCTGCAGCCCAGGCTCGTCTATCCTGACTGACTGACAGGGACACTGGAGGGTCATGATGCTGTCCTCTAAGCCTTGTGCGTTCATGTGTTTCCTAACAGACCCAGAAGAGACAGCGTTAACACTGAAGTCAGCAAGAAGGGCTGACAAGAACAGCAGAGAAACGGCCACAGTGGGACAAACGGTGAGAACCATGGGACCCGTAGGCAGCTGAGGAGGGCATGCCAGCCACAGACACAGAGAAAGAGAGAGCGAGCGAGCTGAGTGTCTTCGGGCAGGAGGCCTGCTGATGGAGCAGGGTGTCTCCGGGCCCTGGTCAGTGGCGCTGAAGAACTGTGATGCTAGTCCACCCAAGGAAGAGGCTCAAAGGGGACTTGGTGGCAGAGACCTAAGGGAAGGGTTGCCGGCAGGCTTGGCTGAAGATGAGCTGTGGTCTATCTTGGTTGAAAGCTGTCCCGATTGATGAAGTTGATCCTGACCCTGATTTGTAGCCTGTTACTGCTGAGTCGGAACCGACTCGAAGGCACTTAACAACAACAACAACAACTGCCCTAATAAACCTGCAACTGTAAGTATTGTTTGTGAGTTTTGTGTGGTCATTGCAGCAAATCATGGAGCCCAGCAAAGAGGCAGTGAGTGTCGTGGGAGGCACAGCTGGAGTCAGCAATGGTGAAGAAGGTGGAGAGTGGAGGTTGGCGGGCCTGACTTCCGCCTTCTAGGAAGCAGCTTTGTGCTGATCCTGGATGGTATCCCTCGGGAATCTGGGTAGCTGAAACATACCTTTATGGGGTCCTGTTCTGGCCCTTGGAGTCACTGGGCTAGAAAGTCCATCTTCATAGTGCCCTGTAGATGAATAAAAGGAGAGAGGCTGGCTTAGGCTTAGGTCGTGTGAGTTACAGAGGATGGGTCCTGTTTGCTACACATCAGCTATAGAGCCAGCACAGGCTAGCTGGTTTTCATTCATTCAGTCAGTCGTTATTTACTGAGTACCTTACTAGTTACCAGGAGACCTGTGTGTGGAACACAGTGGTTAAGGTTTCCACAGGAGAAAGATGTGGCAGTCTGCTCCCATGAAAATGAGAACCCTATCACTTCCAAGTCAATTCAGACTCCGCGAGACCCTATGGGACAGAATAGAACTGCTCCCGAGGGTTTCCAAGGCTGCCCATCTTTAGGGGTGCACACTGCCACATCTTTCTCCCAAGGAACAATTGGTAGGTTTGAACCACCTACTGTCCGCTTGGCAGCTGAGTGCTTTAACCACTTCATCTCCAGGGCTCCATCCATAAAGATGGCAGCCTAGGAAACCCTCTACTCTGTTTTCTACGGTTGCTGAGACAACATGGACCCCAGAGCAGTTGGTTAGATTTGGTTTTTCATGGAAATGGCTTTCGGGCTTTGCTGGGGCTTTGTGGCTATCCTTACCACATCTGGGTCCTCTCCAATCAGCTTTTATAACTTGTTATTAGAAACAAGCTACTATTGTTGGTAAGCGCCATTAAGTTGGTCCCAACTCCTAACGCCCCTGTATAGAATTTCTGAGGAGCGATTGGTGAGTTTGAACCACCAACCTTGTGATTAGAAGTTCAGTGCTTAACCTACAGTGCCACACCAGGATTCCTGCTGCTGATGTTGCTGTTGTTAAGTGTCATCGAGTCGGTTCTGATTCATAGCAACCCTGTATAGGGTTTCCGAACAATGCCTGGTGGGTTTGAACCGCCAACTTAGTAGTTCACACCGACATTGTGGTCCAGTGCTTGTCCTACAATGCCACACCAGGACTCCTAGATGTCTTTAAAATGCTACTTGGGCACCTTTTGTAAAATCTTACAATGTTTCCCTTCAAATTTCTAGCTGTAATGAATGATGGGAGATTTACAGACAATGACCCACTCTTGGATCCTTGGAATTAGTCCTTCTTGGCTAAACCAGTTGCCCACCAGTTGATTCTCACTCACTGTGACCCCGAGTGTGTCAAAATGGAATGGTTTCCTATGGCTGGTGTTTTGGATAGCAGATCCCCAGGCCTTTTTTCCGATATGCATTTGGGTGGACTGATCTATAAAACACATATGAAATGTGTTTCTTGGAGCGGCCTGGATTCTTGGAGCTGCAAACCAGAACACACT